ATACACACCAAGTTTGAGCTGACTTTCTTCTCCAAATATCTGAATTATGCATCTGGATGGCATGTGTGTAAAAACCCAGATCTTCATTTTGGTTTATGGGTTTGACTTTTTATGTTCTTTCCTTCATTAGGGTGATAGAGTTGTATTGTTTAGCCAGTTTACTATGATGCTTGACATTCTGGAAGTTTTTCTAAAACATCAACAAATCCGATATCTTAGGCTGGATGGAAAGACACAGATTTCTGACAGGTAGGTAAAACCTGGGTAATGAACTTGAACAAGCTTATTAATCTTAAGTGTGGTCTGCCTGCCTGACTCTGTCTGACTGTTGATATTTGTTGTATATTAAAGAGAAGGAAGTTTACAAAAGCTCAGGTTCTCTGTGTTCCAACAAATTGAAACGCTCACCTTAATCATCACATTATTATATTAAACCTTCTATGGTACACCAAACAATTTAAACTCCATACCGTTTAGCCGCCATGTATGGGTTAAATTCACAGGGTATCTGCATAGTTGAGGAATAATTTAAATAAAATTCTCCAGTTCATAAGGACCTCTGTATTTTCATGTATCTTGCATCATCTCAAAATGCAGTTTTTCCACTTTTCTGTAATACACAGAAGTGTTTATAAAGTATAATGTGTCTATGACCAGTAGGGAGTACATGGAAAGTCTCACTATGTATAGCAGTATTGAAGGTAATAAAAGGAATTTTCTGATAGTGGATAAAGTGGTCACCACTGGTATAGAGAAGAAGATCAGATGAATTTGTGCAGACTAACAGCTCCATCCTAAACAGAGTTACACCGTTCTAAGCTTGTTGACTTAAATGGACTTAGAAGGGTGTAGCTCTACTTAGGATGTTACTGTAAGTCTACTAAGTGGCTACTAGCCATGATGGCTAAAGGGAGCCTCGATGTTTACAGATAAACCTCAGCATACCAGTGCTAGGAGGCAATGTCAGGGGGGAGGGCCTTGGTCTCCATGTCCTGTGTGTTGACCCTCCAGGTCAGTTGGTGGGCCACTGTGAGAAACAAAGATGCTGGCCTCGATCCACTGGCCTGATCCATGACTGGTCATTTTCATGTACAGTCACTGCTGTAGACAGCTGGTAGACACTCATGTATGTATCAGCCCTTAAGGACTGTCCAAACAGTGAAGGGGACAAAGGAGATCTGTGTGTTGATTCCTTGTTCGCACTTGTTTTCCTCTTCTGTAGGATACATCTGATTGATGAGTTCAATTCGGACATGGGTATCTTTGTCTTCCTGCTTTCAACTAAAGCTGGAGGACTAGGGATTAATCTGACTTCAGCTAATGTGGTCGTTCTTCATGACATTGACTGCAACCCTTACAACGACAAGCAGGCAGAAGACAGATGTCACAGGGTAGGACAAACCAGGTAGGTTTTTGTTGTCGTAGGCAGATGTCAGCAGTTGCATATGATGCAGATCTTGGGTTGCTTACAATGATTGTAGTGACCATAGAGTTTTAAACTAGGAGAGATTACCCATTTCCCAGTAGTAGTAGTATTTGATGTTAGTGGTAAACTTACCTCAGTGTTACAAGTATTGTTTGAATAGTTTATAGTGGCTCCGTTTACAGCAATGGATTTGTGATGACTCATTCACACATGCAAGTCATCTCTTGATGTCAAGTCTTCCAGTAACCAGCACAGATAATGTATTTAGAAACTCCAAAACAAATTTAATGTTTCTGTTTGCATCTCTACCAGTGTTGTCTCCCAGGGTATACGAAGTTTTTATAGTTCACAGCACCAAGAACCACAGTATAAGATACTTTTAAAAACTAGGCACTGACATCTTTCAGAATGCATGTTAGTTGAGGCACTAGCCTCACAATGAAAATTTATGTACAGTCTTCGTTACTTGTTATATAGCAATGTGAGGTTAATTGGAAATATGTTCCTATGATTAAGCTAAGCATGTTGGCTTTCAGAATTACACAAATAGGATTTTTGTTTCTTTGTTTTTTAAGAGAAGTGAAAGTTATACGGCTCATCAGTAAAGGGACAATAGAGGAATCCATGCTCAGAATCAGTCAGCAGAAGTTAAAACTAGAACAAGATATGACGGCAGCAGATGCAGGTAAGTTCTCATAAGGCGTACTTCTAAATACACGGAATTGTAAAAGGAAGGCATGGGTTCAAAAGTATATGGGGCAAGAAAAACTTAAATGTATATTGTACCAGGAAGCTAATGTGGGGGTGGAGAGCAGTTCAAATAATTACTGATATTTTTATAAGGTGGCGAATCATGGAACAGAATCTACAATTCAAGTTAATCTTTATCCAACTAGTGTTAGTCAGCACATTGTGGAATGATCTAAATCTCCACGTACTCAACTCGATGTTCTCGGGGATCCAAAACTCGAAGGAAGAATCATAAAAGACAGGGATTTAGTGGAGAAGAAAAATATACACAGTTGCTCCTTGCAACGAATATTTAGAAGTATACGCAGTTGCCCGAGACCACCACACCATATGGTCCACCATGTTGGCCTTAAATGTGTTGTATCAGCTATGGTAGGAGCTCTTTGTTTCAGCTGGTGTACTTTTCTTTCTACAGGTGAGCATCTGCATGTATAAACAGCTAAAATGTAACGTCTTACTGTTTTGAATTTGAGGTCCCTACCATGTATGCAATCTTGCCTTTGAAGGGTTTAGCCTGGTGGCCCACAGTTTCCAATATCCACATTTTACTCTTTACGTAAAATCTAGGTTTATTCTGCACAGCACTCTTCCATAATATTTTTCCATAATAACAACAACAATAATAATAAAAGAAATTCTGAATCAATGGCTTGCAACCCATGAGTCGGATCAAGCTAGGGTTTATGCCCGGTCTTTTTGAGTTCTCCTCTTTACTACCCGTCTCATATGGCTTTTGCCCAGGCAAGTCCAATGAGGCCCAGCATAGCCTTTTTGGATGCTGCTGGATCTATTTTTCAAATCAGAAAAGCTGGTTGGATCCAACCCCATTTCTTTTGCTGCAGTCCAAAGAACCCAGCTTCTAGTTTTGCACTTGCAAATTAGTTTTGAGGCTGGTATTTCTCAAACAGCAGCATCTCATGCGGCCCAATAAATACGTCTTGAAACTCAGTGGACTTTCTGAAAGCAGCTTGTGATATAGTATGGGAGGTGGGCAAACATCCCACAGGATATGCCAAAATGTCTCTCTTCATCACAGTGTGTGTGTGTGTGCTTTCATGCCTGGAAGCCATGGCAACTTCTAGTGACCCCTACTGGGGGCTTGGATGTTTTCCAGAGAGGTGGATTAAGTGGCCTGCCTCTGCGTCCCAGGCCCTGGTATTCCTTGGAGGTCTCCCTTCCAATTACTTGCCAGGGTCGCCCCTGCTTAGCTTCTGAGATCTGAAGAGATCGGGCTTGCCTGAGCTATCCAGGTCAGGGTGATTGTAGTCTATCTTTTGATACAGTTTGAAACTGAATAAACAAATCTAAATCCCGCTAGAAACAGTAGATACCGTAAGAAGCTAGTTTTATCCACGTTGGTTGTTTTTTTCTTCATTTCAAAGCAGTGGAAGATTGAAAAGGGTTATGTTATTGGAAGACATTGCTGCAGATTCAGATTTTTTGCAGAAACATACTGTTTAAATGTGCTTAACATAATCCAATAGCCCGCCCCTCCCAGTACCTACAATTGAATGGATTAGGCAAGTATCATTTCTGATGTGGTAGCAAGAAGTGATGAGCTTGCTACCAGTAAAGATCTAGCTCCCGTGGAGGCAGTAAACCTCTGCTTGGGTTGTACTGTTCCATATTGCAAAAGACTTGCATGACTAAATGTTCTCCCATGCAAAAAGCAGACATTCCTTCTACATAAAAATGGAAAGTCAGGTCAGAGTTCCCTGGTGTCTACTCTTGCATGTAGGAAGGCTTGGGGGGGGGGTGCTACGGAGAAATAGTCCTGTGAACTCCCACCTGTATTCTAAAGTAGCCCACACTCAGGTTTTCCACTGGGCCAACGTCATGGGAAGTGGCACTGTATTGATTTTAGGGCAGTGATATCCTTAAACCTACCTCTTGGGCCTTCTCCAGAAGTTTGCTTTTTCACAAGCAATCACAGTGCTTTTGCGAGCCAGATGTCAGCTGGGCCAGTTCCCATGGATCACAGCTAGCCCATTTTACAGAACTGCTGAAATCAAAGAAAAGTCTCTGAAAATGGGTTGCCTTCCAAAAACACCCAAACGTTATGAAAATTGTACCAATAAAAATTAACAGCTGAAACTTCTATCGAAAATAATGCAACACTTTAGTGAATAATACCATCAATACTAATAAATTCACAAGTTACAAGATACCAGTTGCCAACCAATCCAAAAGGATGTAATTAAACAATCAAATAAAGAAATAGCTTGAACATCCTATAAACATATACAGAACAATTACATGAAGACAAAACAATCACAATGGGGATAAGTAACAACAGCAGTGAGTAGTAGAGAATAAGTAATAACATCAACAATGAGGAGCGGAGAAGTCAGTAACAGCAATACAAGGTCCCAGTTTACTTCCCTTGTTTCCTTAAACGTTCTTCCTCAGTCGCCATGAAACAGTAAAAAGAAAACAAAGTGCATTGCAGTGGGTATCCAGCTTATGCTTACAGAACTCAAATTCTGAACACGCTGGAGTACACTCACTCACCTATTACAGAACAATAATTCTGTATTGAATGAAACCATGAGCATATTTATTAGTATTGATGGCATTCTTCACTAAAATGTTGTATTATTTTCAATAGACGTTTCAGTTGTTAATTTTTACTGGTACAATTTTCATAACATTTGGGAGTTTCTGGCAGGCAGCCCATTTTCAGAGTCTTTTCTTTGATCTCAGCAGCTCTTTGACTCTGTTGTCCATTGTTCTCTTTACCATTGTACAGGACTAGCAAGGTTCGTTACCCAACAGATTTTTTTTCCCGTTGAGGTGTTTCTTCCACACTTCTCCGTTTGTAGCTACTGTTGTTGGGAGACGTGACACTCGAATGAGCATTTGACTTGGGTATGTCGGTCCATGATTTACACATAGAGGCTCAATCTGTGTGGCCCTTAATCCCTTATTCTAATGCAGCATGTGTATCTGCCCAAAGTTATGGTAGCAGTTTCAGCCTGTGCTGTTTTCAGGATTGCTAAGACTAAAAAAGAGTGTTTCATAATGTCTTGCCTGTTCAACTCTGATTGATTCTTTTTTTTCTCTCCCCTTTGCAGGAGAAGAAGGGGCCATTCCAGCAGATATAGCAACATTATTAAAAGCATCGCTAGGTCTCTAATAATATAAAACTGAACGTTGTAGATATTTTTTTAATTTGAGGAAGAAAATACAATGTGGTGCTTCAAGAAGTTTTTATGTTATGACAATACATTTGTATGGACATTTATAACTTTTTGTAATTTCCTTGTTGTTGTTGATTGTCTCTGGCAAAAAAACCCCCCCCCCCCCAAGCTGGTACTCAAAGTAAAATATGGAGATACCACAAAAAAAATGTAGTGCATAAAATGCCACCTAAGCTATATTATCAAGGCAGTTTTAAAATGGGGACCCTAGTTTTAATTAAACTGCTAATGCTTAAAATTGTTCCATATTTTTGTAATTATTTCTACCTCTAAATATATATATAGAAGCTGTCTATTTCACTGGATGTGTGGTTTTTTTACATGTGCCTTATTTGAAATGCCCGTTTTTGTTGTCTCTTTGCTTGTTTTTATTTGAAGTACTGTAATGTTTTGTATTAAATTGTTCGCACAATAAAAAATTAAATCTTAACAGTTTGAAGCTTGCTAGCCGGTTATTTGAAATTTTTGGAGCAACGGGGGAATGAAATACTGGCTTGGAAAACACGACAAAAGAAGCCAGAGAGCTAAGGCCATGCTTTATTCCCCCTTTTTGACAGAGAGACAGAGAGAGAGAAAGGAGGGCTGGTATCTTTCAGGTCCAACTACATGTGACAGGGAATGTATCGATAGTACTGCCAACCTCTGCATCTCCTTCCTGCCACTCTCTCTTGTTTTTGCTTTGTTTCTTTTGTAACCTGCAGGAAACCTGTTATGAAAGCACATGAGAATGGCAAGAACAACATAAGTTCTTTGTTTTAATGTTCTGTGCAGTTGATTCTGTCCTCTCAGAATCCTGTCTTAGTTGTCGGTTTAGAACATAACTTATTATATATGGATCTTTTTAGTGTAGACAGTGGACCCTGTTTGTATACATTTTGGTCTATAGCTTTATGGATACAAGCTCACAAGTCCTGTAGATATAGATATTTGTGAAGTGGTTAAACGAGATACTATGTACAAAATGCATGAAAGAATTGGACCTGCCTAATGTGTTGACAATCCGCTTAACCTGTAAGGAAGTGTTAGCTGCCTCCCGTGATTTAACTGCAGTGGAGCAATTATTCGTTCTTGTAGTTATTCTCAGTCACTAGTTGTAAGTTAGTCTATAGTTATCAAGGATCCTGGTTTTGTACTTAGGAACTAAATTGGATGCGTCCTGACCTGGATAGCCCAGGCAAGGTTGATCTCAGAAGCTAAGCAGGGTCGACCCTGCCAAGTACTTGGATGGGAGACCTCCAAGGAATAGCAGGGCCAGGACACAGAGGCAGGCATATCAAGCCACCTCTCTGAAAAACATCCAGGCCCCCAGTAGGGGTTGTCAGAAGTCACCACCGCTTCCAGGCAAGCAAGGACGCATGCACACACAGATGCACACACATAAAAATACTACAACCCCCCACCACCACCACTGCATCTGATGCAAGCCACCATCTAGGGTCGGAGAGGATTTGTGAAACTGATCTAAGAGCTTCCATAATGCTTGCATATTCCAGTGTCTTTTTAGAAAATACGATTTGGACCAAATATCTTAAATAAACCTTACTGGATCAGATCATTTGTGTGTTTCCTGCTACCCAATGAAAGGGATTGCTCCCTGACAGAGCATGCTCTTGATGGATCCACAAGCAGGAACTCTGGAAGCAACAGAGAGGCAGGAGCTGTTCACCAGGCGGGTTCTGTCTCAGCTCAGTCTCACTGAGCCTGCTTGGATGGGAGTGGCTGTCCAGTGATGGACTCAGTGGAATCTGGCACCAGGAGATGGAATAGGGGGGGGGGGGGGGGGAAGAGGCATTATTTTGCTAGAGTTCTTTTAACTCTCCCTTTGCCTCAGCCCACAGATGTTCGTGCATAGCCCTGCAATGCATGCAGGGAGACCAGGAGATCTCCACAAATGCTTGCTGGTTAAATGGATGGCTTGGTAAAATAAGTTGGGGAGGGGACCACTGTTCCCTCTAAGCTGAGTTAGTGTGAGCCAGCTCACAGTTTTTTAGCCTCCAGCTCACACATTTTTGCTTTAGCTCAGGAAGGAGGGCTACAGAGCAAACCAATTTAATGCAGTAGCCAAATGGCTCGCTCACAACTTTAATGCCAGTAGCTCACCAAGTAGAAATTTTGCTCACATGACTCCACAGCTTAGAGGGAACATTGGAGGGGACTGAGTCTGACAAGTATTGAAGAAGAAGAAGATGAAGAAGAGATTGGATTTATACCCCACCCTTCACTATCCAGAGGAGTCTCAGAGCGGCTTACAAACTCCTTTCCCTTCCCCTCCCCACAGCAGACACCCTGTGAGGTAGGCGGGGCTGAGAGAGCTCTTGACAGAAACTGCTTTTTTTCAAGAACAGCTCTTATCAGAACGATGGTTTGCCCAAGGTCATCCAGCCAGGTGCAAGTGGAGGAGTGGGGAATCAAACCCGGTTCTCCCAGATTAGAGTCCGTGCACTTAACCACTACACCAAACAGTGAGAATCACTGTCACCAACATAATAGTGTCATACCTGTGTCCTCCACAAGATGGCAGCATTAAAATTGGAAGAAAAGTGAAGTAAGCTAGGAGAGGCTGCCACTAACTTATAAAAAGTAATACTTCAGGTTGCATTTCGAAAATGTTAAGTGGGTCATCATAACTATAGAAAGAGACTGAGCCAGTCACTGATGATACTAGCACAGTTTAGGCCAATCCTTAGAAACTGCATTTTTGGTTTGGTCCACTCAGACATCCTGTATGCGGAGGTTTGTCATGCCCTCCAATGCTGCCATTTAATGTTGAATGTTTGCTACTAAATGTACTGTCTCTGTTTCAGACGCAGTACCTTCAAGCCTGTGTACCTGTCAGACCTGTCTTGGAAGATACTGGAACACAACTTTCAGGCCCTCCATAGTTCTAGCGATACTAGAAGGTTCATAGAAATCTGAAGTTTGCATCTGGGCTTCTGTAGAGCTTTGTCTATTGCTAATACCATCCATAAGCTAAGAAGCTTGGGGAAGGGCCGTAGCTCAGTGGAAGACCACATCCTTTGCATGCAGAAGGGCCCCAGTCCAATCACTGAGCTCTCCCAACAATGAAAGGCTGCAGGTATTGGGAAAGACATTTCTTGCCCAAAGCCCTCGAGGGCCAGTTTAGTGTAGTGGTTAAGAGTGGTGGACTCTAATCTGGAGAACCAGGTTTGATTCCCCACTTCTCCTCCACATGAAGCCTGCTTGGGTGACTTTGGGTCAAACACAGTTCTCTCAGACCTCTCTCAGCCTTACAGGGTGCCTGTTGTGGGGAGAGGAAGGGGAGGTGATTGGAAGCTGCTCCGATACTCTGAGTGAAGAGCGGGGTATAAATCCAACTCTTCTTCTTCTTGACAGAGTAGGCAATACTGATTCAGTGGACCACTGTTCTGACTTGGTAAAAGGCAGCTTCATATCTTCATGCGATTTACCTTTGCAGCTTGTGGCGGAGACAACTAGGAAGTTGTGGTAGTCTGTCCTGGGACTTCTTCCACCTGGTTGCCTGGTGCCCCTCCCTCTCCTGGGAGGCCGTCTCTAGGCCAGGGTTCTCTGGTGCTCTTTCCTGGTGTCCATCAAGCGTTTTTAGAAGGTTGGTAGGGCCAGGTGGAGCTTCTCTCCAGCAAGGCTGCTTCTTGGCCATAGGAGAGCTGATCGCCTGCGTAGATTCTTTTTAAAAGTTGCTTTCGCAGCACAACACAGGAATCTTCACCACAGCACTAAAGGTCAGCTGTGTATATTAAAGAAAATGGTTGCAAGCAATAGGTTCATTTTAATAGGCATCCTGGTAAGAAGAGCCTGAAATGCTGAACAATGTTGAACAGCCTGTTGATAAGGATCACCATGATGATATTGGGAAAGCGCTGTGAAAAATGGAAAGGACTGTTTCAGTATCAAATGAGAATCCTGCTGAGTGAGAGTACAGGCAGTTACACCTAAGCAAGAAGAGCAAATTTATGCTGATGTTAGCAGTACTTTAAGCGGCCACGTTCTAAGTGATGGAGCGCTCAAGCGCAGGCTCATCTTATGAAACAGGTGACCTGCCAGAGCTTTTTGGAATACAGTCAAGGCTGCCGCACACTCTAGATCTGCCTACGTTTCAAGTGAATCCCTACTGTTACGCCAAATGCTTTATCTACAGCAAATGGCTAACTATAATTTTAACGTGAGCTCTGGCCAGCTATACCGGGGTTGTGTCTGAACTCAGAGTTCCAGTAATGGAGACCACACGGATGTTTTTCCAAAACAAATAATCTTTTTACTGAAGGGTATCAAAGTCACACATACAAAAGAATCAGTCTCTCGTTTCACATACACTCAAGGTTCCTTTCGAATTACAGAAAGAATATAAAGATAGTTTCTTAATTACTTGGAGGTAGGTAGGTATATTTCGGTTTATACTCGCCTGCTTCCAGGAGTCCTGTCTTGTTGCAATGGAAGATTGGAGGAAAAGGGAAAGGTTTCTAATAATTCACACTGCCAGAACTAGCCAGCTAGTGTGGGGATGGGGATTAATGTCTTTGGCTGCGCACCCCAAAGAGATCCATCAAGAACAAAGAGTTTTAAGGCAGGAAGAGGGTGTGGGGAAGAGGTAGGAGGATGTGTGGCCAGCCTGCAGCATGGTCTTGAGTTGATGGTGGAATGTGGCTGGCCCAGCTCCCAAAGCATGGTCCCTGCGTTATATAGTTGACTCTCTAGGTGGGTGGCAATTTGCCAATCTGTAATCCCACCTACTTACAAGTCCATCCCATGAACTACCTGATTGGTGAATGTAGTAAGGGCAGGCATCCCTATGGGTTGGGCCAATATTTGAAATACTATCCTCTATCTCATAGAATCTCAGCATCAGGACATCTCTTTGTTGTGGAGATGAATCTTGGCCTCACCAGACAATAGGTGATTCAAACAGCTTTCTTTGGCTCATGGTATACAGATGTGTGCACAGTCCATTTATAGTGTGTGTGTAGCAGATATAGAATCATAAATCATAAATAAGTTCATTTCTCAACACTACTTTGCCTTGCCTGTAATGGTGTTACGCGTTTGTGTACTCGATATGAATTTCTTTGCCTTGCCCATTACGGTTTTACAAAATTTACTAGTTACATTTTGTTTTTAATCCAAATATTCAATTGTTTTTGCATTTTTCAAGTACTCTGCATTTTAAAAAATGCCATCATCATGCCTTTCTTTACACTGATCCACGCTGCCTACAATCTGTCCTTTTATGTACATTAGTGAGCTACTTTTCTTGAGGTCTTCTTGTCCTTTTGCAACCACAAGTAAATCCTTCTTTATGAAAGGAGATCAGGGTGGTGTATGTGGTTCTCCCCTGTTCCATTTTATTCTGTCACCAGCCCTGTGATGTTACCGAAATGCCCTATCTCAGTTACAGGAGTGTCTCCCTTTAACATGTTGAGAGCTTACACC